TGCATAGATACAAAACGATGATTATTTACACCCCTAATGGTGAAGCAAGGTAGTGTCAGCATCATGCTGTGGGATTACTTTTTAAATATTTGCTGAATGATAATTAACTGCTTTGTTTTGTCTTTAAGCACAATGCTCAGAATTATTTTAGCTTCGGTCCATCTGATCCCCTAAATGTGCTACAGATTGTTTTGGGCCAATTCTTTAGTTTGAGGTTGCTTTATTTTTCCCCTCCTCTATTATAAAAAATGACAAGTGATAACACATTTTATACAAATCTTAATTTACCGTAATTTTCGGTCTATTAGCCGCACCTGAATATAAGCCGCAGAAGGTAAATTGCATGATTTGTACATATACAAGCCGCAGCGTTTTTTATGTTTAACACGCTCGCCATGTCAGTCTTTCTCGCTGTCGTTCTGTCTCGTACCGCTCGCGGTAGAAGTCTGCTTCCGGAGGACCTCCACATTCCCGCGCGCGGCTACCGCACTTGTGTGTTGAAGCAAATGTGTCGCCAACGTGGTGGATGGTAAAATCCATAGATTTAGGTATTACCCTAGTGGCCGTTAGCTGTAAAAGTCCACAGATAATCCGCATTGTTTTATAAGCCACAAGGTCGAAAAATGGGGAAAAAGTCGTAGCTTATAGTCCGAAAATTACGGTAAACGGAAAAAAAACTTTAACTTTAAAAACTTTTATTAACAAAACAAAAAACGTGGACAGAAAAATGGATTTGTGTTACATTTGTTATAATTTTCATTTCTATTTTGTAAACGGAGGAAGAAAAGCAACGGCGGCTCTGAGAATCGGCTCAAAAAATCAATGTCAAAATAATAATAATGTGTTGGTTGATCTGTAATAAAACGCCAATTCCTCTGAGGTCAGCAGCAGGAACGACACAAAATGCAAAACTCTTTCAAGTAGAGACATAATAAATGCGGCAGAAATGTGCTCCTCAGTGGGAATAAGACTGCCTACTGTTGTATTATAATAGAGAACACCTCAAATAAATAAAAAACAAACGCACCCCACATGTGGTGATGACCGGATCCTTGAAGACGTTGCAGCACAGCTGGCAGCACAGCTTTACAGAGGGCGGTTCTGCAAACACCTGCGGCTCCTGGTCACAGAGACACAAGGGGTGGAAGGGGGGGTTCTGTTTGGGGTTCTTAAATTCAGAGAGCAACATCTACCTCCATGTAAGGACGTACCGTGTCTTCCTCCTCTTCGTGCAGCGAGAAAGTAGAGCGAAGGGACATGTTGGACTCTGAATGGAGCGACCGGATTGAAATGGCTGAATCTGACCTCCGGGGAGTGCCGATGGGAGGCTGGAAGGAGGAGGAGAAGTCTGGTAAACTCCCTACAGCCACAATCATTAGCGCAGCAGAAAAAAGAAAATGGCTTCACCCTCAGAGTTCATCTATAATAATCTGTTTACCATTCCATCGTCGTCGTCACGGGTGGAGTATGCCAGGGTGCTGGAGGAGGAGGGCGTTCTTCTGTGCTGCTTGTAGCTGCTGGAGGTCTCTGCTGAAACCGATCAGAGAAGATTAGAAAGACGGAACGGACTAGAAGCAGACAGGTGAGCTCAGTAATGTTACCTTTAGCTCCAGACGATGAAAAGGTGGGGCCAAACGACGCCTCCATCATGCTCTGTAGAGGATAAGACCAAAGAGAGGGTGATTAGATAGATGAAGAGGTTCCAATCCAGCTAATCGAAACCAAAAACAACAACAAAAATGTATTTTTAATGTAAATTATTGGTGTTGAATTTTCTAAATGTTGCGGATAGTTTATGGATGTTTGTCTGTTTTTTATTAGCATTGTTTGTGGTTTGTTTAAAGGTATTTGTACTTTGTAATGTTTAAGGGTTTTTGTACCTCACGGGCTGCCGTAGCAAATGAGGGCAGGCCCTATAAATGCTGGTGGAATTATGACAACCTGCTTGTTGCACAGAACTGGCTGCACCATTATTCCGCCCCTTTAACACATGCTCTAACCTGATTGGTCCACTGTTCAATCTGGCTCCTAACTCCAGTTTGAAAGATGTCAGTTTCCCAGCAGACAGTGTAACAGAAACAACTGGTGCTACTACTTCTGCGTATTCTATATGGTCAACCAGAAACAAAGTCCATCGGTGGCCGTTTAATCCCTCGTGCTGTCAGTCTTTTGCCTCTGTTCTCCTGCATGGATGTTACCGTCACCGATCATTAAGAAAAAGGAGAAATCCCAACAAACAAACTTCATTCTGTGCTCCTGCTGTGCCGACGGGTCACCACGGATATCCCAGAAGACGGTGATGACACAGATCAAACATTCCCTGTAAATTCTACACTTACTGAAAATATAAAATTAAGTTAAATTATTCATTTTGCCCCTTTATAAAAAATAAAATAAAATGTAAATACTTTTATCTAGTGAAACCAACTAAAGAAATCCTGCTCCTGCCGCTGTGCACATTTTCCTCATCTCACCTGTAAGTCCATTCTATTTATGTTTTTTTATGCAACTGTAGGACTTAAAAGTTTATGGGCTCTTATGTTTTTTTTTTTCTTTTGTTTATTAACAGCTCTTGCTGTGGGACAATTATGTTGGAGCCCTTCTTTCTTGGAGGATAAAAACGGATATTTGTTTTGTTGGTCTATTTGTGAAAACATTTGTCGTTCATTATTTTTTAATAATTAAAAGAAATAATAAATAAAAATAATAAAAAATAGATAAAGATTTAAGAGTTAAAAATAAACCCATCTTACCCCAACACCCGAGTCTGCAGGCGGAGAGGAGGGGCTGCTGGAGATGGACGACCCGCCGGCGGCGGCTCCACCAGAGTATTGGTTGTAACGAGGCGTTTTACTGTTGCTCATAACCCAGACCTGGAGTGCACACGGAACGGAAACACAGGGAACCGGCTGGCCTGCTAGGCCTGGGAGCAGAGAGAACATGAAGGTATTAGGGCAACAATGATGGAGCAACAGGTGCAAAGGAAGACATACAAAACTAAAGCAAAAGGAGATTGAGAAAGATACGATTAATCCAGCTCAGCCTGTTTAAGAGCTCCAAAACGTCTTCTGACATTAAGTACACAGATAAAGCTTTATCACTATGCCAAAAATGCAGGACATAAAAAGCTCAATCCAACCACATCTCCTCCCTGTTAACTAACTCCTCAGCTGGAGTTTGTGCTATTTCTATTAACATAGTGCTAGAAACCAAAATAAAACATCTTCAGTTTGCTCTCATTACTCCAGATGATGATCCACTCTGCTGCCAAACTCCTTTAACTGAGACCTTTCTAAACAAAACGCTTAGAGACGAACTGATCAGGCTCTGGGGTGGAGGCAGTCTAGTGGTTAGGGCATTGGGTTTGGGTTCAAGAGTTTCCGAGTTCAAGCCCCACTCCCACGGACTGCCAGTCTGGGTCCCTGAGCAAGACCTGTAACCCCCACACTGCTATTAAACAATGGCAGCCCACTGCTCCCCTAGGGGAAAGGTTAAATGCAGAGAGTGAATTTTGTTGCTTTGTATTTGTGACAGAGTAATGACAATAAAGTTGAATTCTATCGTATTCTCTCTAGACCAAAACACATCTTTATTTTTTTTAATATCTCACTTGCTGATTTGGACTGTCTCCCTCCTCTGACAAAATGCTGGAACAACAAAAAGTAAACATGCTTCAGACAGAATAATCGGCTGAGGGCAGATTTTGTTAACATAATAATAATTTAAAAAAAATCAATCAAGCACCTTTTGCTGTTTTCTTAAAGGGAACATTTGTTGCATATTTACTAAAGATAAAATGAAACATCAGCCGGCTGATTTTTTTTGACCGATATTTGTGTTTTTCCTTGTATCGTAGCAGCCGATACATGTATGCAGGCGTAGATTCATTAATGCATTCAGCAGCCATGCCTTAACATCTCATGAAGCTCATGCTTTTGCAGAATGATGGGGAGAAAAACAATATATAAGATTAATCAATTAGTGAAACGGCCGATATCAGCTCTGAAATTTGGCAATTAGATGGAGGGGATATCGGATGAATGACGCTGATCAGCATTCCCATCCGGTGGATTCTCTTTTTATTGTTGGGTTACTGTATTAAACCTCAAACTCAACTCTATTCCTGACATTTTGAACTGAAAAAGCTTCCAGGATGGGAAGCAAAACGTCTTCAAAGTTAGAAACAAATGATAGAAGAAATAAAATTTTTCTCTGTTAATATGCTTTATCCAGAAATGGAAAAGTTTTATTTTCACCTCGTTTAATTTTGTAAAAAGCCTTTGGCTATCCGATAATAAATTAATGGCAAAAATATATCAACAGATTAATCTATTTGAAAAAAAACGGTAAGTGCAACCCCAAGTTAAAACCAAAAAACCAAAAAACCGGCCAACAAAACAATCAAGTAAAACCAAAAAATTTAATCAACAAACCCCCTCCAACCCCCAATAAAGTAATTTTTTTTAAAAACATTAACTATATTTAAAAAGGCACTGAAACAATCCAACAATGTTATCCACCAATTTCTGTGAAACAGTGAAGTTAAACTGTTGCACTTCCATCTATCTGACTGTAAAATGCCTTGAGAAGAAATATGTTGGGAACTGGTGCTGTATAAATAAACTAAATTGAACATAATTTCTTTCTCTACTTGTTGCTATAAGAACCAGAACAGTAAAATGTTTGGCATAACAGGACGTTCAAGGTTCAGTTTGTGTTTTTAAGTAGTAAAGGACAAGAAAAATTGACATTTTTAGTTTGCGTGACAGATAAAAATCAGACCGTAGATCCTTAAAACATTAAATTCAAGGCTGAATTTGTTCACTTGTTCTAAGAACACAACAAACTTCAATTGGATAGAAAATCACAAAGGTTTTAAAGAGGAAAGAAAACCGTGACTCACATTAATCAGCCCTCCTGAGTCACAGCTTTGTCTAATCTCCTTCATCCCGTTGGGAGTTTCTATTTGTGGCAAACAGGTCTTATGCATCTATTTCAACAGCTGCAAAGCATTTCCAAAAACATCTTTATCATTTCCCCCCCTCCACTTGAGTTAAATGTCCTTGTAGGGAGGAACCGACCCAAACTTCTTTCACTCTCTGGAAACCAGAGCTCCGTTTGCCTTCATCTTATCATTACTATAGATTTTCGAGGCTGTCATTAAATCTTCTCCAAACAAGCATATTATATATATATATATATATATCGTATAATCATGTTAAAAGGTCAGATTCTGTCCTAAAAACAATATTAAACTTTAAGGTTTCAAACTGTTCTTATTAAATCCAAGACAGGGGCTAAGAAAGAGTTAAAAACCTTCCGCTGCTGGAGACATTTGTAAATGAAATAGAATTTATTATAGAAATAGACTGTATAGATCTGCCCCTATAGACTGGAGCCCATTCTCATCTAGATTTTTTTCCAACATCAGGAACTTTACCGATGTTAATATCGGCAATAAAGATGAGTGCAATAGGGGTGTCCTGATACAATGTTTTCATTTCTGACATGACATCGATATCGCAGCTGAGAGAATTGGCCGATATTGACCTGATACGATATTAACACAAATTATACCAGCTTGTATTACCTATTTTATACTGTGAAATGTTAGAAAAGGCTTCATCACCTAATACAGATCATAAAAACATTATTTCACAAATCTTTTCACAGTTTGGATGGACTCTATAACCACCACCGTTCCCAACAGCCTCAATAAAATCTTACATTCATGCTGATTTTTGAAGTTTCTATCTTAGTCAGTTAAATAACATGCTGCTGTCGTTTTGCACGTCTCTGATGTTGCTGCTATTTTATAATATCCATTACTGTAAAAAAAAGTCCATAGCTGGATATTGGTTATTTATTCTCCAGGTGCACAGTATCATATTGTTAAAACCCTTTACAGTGCAGTATGTTATTGTTTATCTTTTAACTCTTCACTATTATGTTATTCTTATACACTTTTCTAAGGTTCTAAGCATATTTCTGTGACCATAATCTTTTTACTGCTGTAAACACCAGAATTTCCCCATTGTGGGACAATAAAAGGATTTTCTATTCTATTTAATTCTTAATGTATGGCTGCTAAATGTGTGTGCAGGGGTGGATATAGGAAATGTGGGGCCCTAGGCAAAGACAGGCAGAGGACCCTCTGAATTGGGAAGACAACACATAAAACAGACCCATTATACAGATACAGAAATTTTAATAGAATAAACATACATTATTTGTTCTACATTTTGTCACTCACTAAGCCAATTCTCACTTAGCTGATTGCTCCTTCCTGTGTTTCCAAAAAGGCGACAGCAAAAGTCCTTATTTACACTGTAGACAAGCCATGATCTGCTTATCTGTTCTCCATTTTTCATTTGGATGAAATAATAGCTGCATGAATCATGACAGCAGACAAGATAGAGGAGAGCAGGAGGCGGGACTACCAATCTACTGATTTTGGAGAGCAGAGTTCGCTGCTTTTATATGTCGTCTCCACTAGCAGAAAAAAAGTTGCTAGATTTGGTGTTAGGCGTTTTATGAAAGAAAAGTGCTAGAGGGGTCTGAAAAGTCGCTTAAAGGAATAGTACACCCAAAACATGATTAGCCTTCATTTTCTACTCACCCCCATGCTGAACAACACTCTGGAGTACTTTTTTGATATCTCAAATGCATCTGGAGATCTGGGAGGCTTCTTGCTGTCTGCTGACATTCAAATAATGGAGGTCTATGGCGCCCGAGGCAGAAAGGTCCATAAAAGTCCACAAAAAACGTGTCAATATTCCTCCATACTGCTCGTCCAATGTATTCCAAGTGTCCTGAGTGGGTAGCATCCAGAATTTACTCGAAACGAAGTCATTTAGAATGTTTTTAGAGCATAAACAGTAGTGTATAGGATTTCCTGAAAGCGCGCACCTGCGCGTTCACGACGCTACGGAAGCCGGCAGACCAAACCAGCGCATTCAGCTCGGCAAAGAACTCATGCTCTTCCTCAACACTGAAGTCCTCAGACATTTTTCTTTCGTTATTTCTTTATTTGCACAGGTAAACAGCACATTTCTTCTTCTACGCTTGCATTATTGGCAGAGCAGACGCTGAATGCGCACTTTCATCTGGTTTGGTCTGCCGGCTTCCGTAGCGTCGTGAACGCGCATGTGCGCGCTTTCAGGAAATCCTATACACTACTGTTTATGCTCTAAAAACATTCTAAATGACTTTGTTTCGAGTAAATTCTGGATGCTACCCACTCAGGACACTTGGAATACATTGGACGAGCAGTATGGAGGAATATTGACACGTTTTTTGTGGACTTTTATGGACCTTTCTGCCTCGGGCACCATAGACCTCCATTATTTGAATGTCAGCAGACAGCAAGAAGCCTCCCAGATCTCCAGATGCATTTGAGATATCAAAAAAGTACTCCAGAGTGTTGTTCAGCATGGGGGTGAGTAGAAAATGAAGGCTAATCATGTTTTGGGTGTACTATTCCTTTAATATAGTGACGCCACCTCTAAGTTGGTAACACTGCTCTTCACAGCGTTTGTCTTCAAATGGTTTGCTGCTGTCTGTTTGGACCTTTCTGAACATGTGCAGCAAACGGACTGATCCAATGTGGTGGAAACAAAAGCGGGGGCATTCTGATCACATTTAAATGAAATGATCTTTAGTATAAACATGATTAATGTGCACAAATAAATAATAACAGCATTAATCATACATGTAAAAGGAGTTTTAAGGTCACCCAGGTACTTGGGGCCCTAGGCAACTGCCTAGTATTGCCTAATGATAAATCCACCGGTGTGTGTGTTGGCTGTTGGGTTGTCAAAAGTATTAAACTGCAACACTGTACTAATTTGGCATGGTAGTGATACTAAATACAAGAGTTGCTTGCATATCTTTGCTCTTGTTGGTATTGGAATAGCAAGGAGTATATCGACTTAAAAACAAAGCAAATGCAAATACTTTTACTTATTTAATCAGGACAATCTTATACTTCTGTACAGATTGTAAATGAGCCAGATTATAGCATAGTTGCCAATTTACATCTATCGTCCCGAGGGCCAAAATATCAGCCAGACGATGCTTCAGTCTATTTCTAGATTCAAAGAGGTTAAATGCATGACAGAAGTTGATTTTAGTTTTTTCTTTCATACATGACATCAATGAATAAGATTGGTTTCTTATCAAACAATCAGCTGATCACCAATCTCCTTAAATCAAGGAAAAAGAGGCAGATCAGTTGATACATTTTATGACTATTTCTTGATTTTGTTGGTCCCAAAAGTTTGAGTATTAACCAAATTCAACTCATGCAGACACCAACATGTTTATATATTTTTTTATCAATGCATGACACCCCTCCAAAGAAAAAAAAAAACATCCAAACACCCAAATATGAAAACTATTTCAGGCTAAAGCTTCCACAGAGCTCCAGGATAGTGATTAAAAGTGGCTGACATCTGCAGATCCCACATTTCAGGGCTGGATGAGCAGAAACAGAAACAGAGGAGGGGGGAGAGGTGACAGCGACCCCAACAAAAACCAGACCGATGATGTAAACAGAAAGCTATGCAGACTATCTGCCCTTATGGTGAACAGAAGGGAGAATCTGTAATCTTTATGTGGTCACAATCTTGCAGGTTCCCGTAAAGGGGAAGGGGGCGGATCACGGCTCAACACCAAACTTCTCAGGCTAAATGTTTCACCCAAATAAATATCATCGGCTTCAGATACAGTTATTCTTTAAAAAGATCCCCCCGAAGCGTTTTTCTTGACCTCTAACTTCTAACTGGTGATTAAAAGTTGCTCTTTTTAACAAAAGCTAAATTGTCTTAGCTAGCTAAAGCAAGCTAATTTCCTCGCGTTATTAGCAATCACTGCTACTAGCGGACTTTGACAAACTCTGCGGGCCAACGCGTCACCACCCCAGCGGTGTTTTTTACACGAGTGAAAACAAATCTCTAAAATCTGTTCGTAAAAAGCGCGTTAAACTTGCCATTGTTTGTTTCCGCAGCGACGCTCCAAGTCCGAAGGCAAATTCTCAAACGTTCCTCTTTTTTTTTTTTTTGGCTCAGTCCGAGCTACAGCTCCGAATGCCGCAGTGCATTGTGGGAGACGTAGTAGAACGTGAAACGCCTCCTCTCAAATAGTAGCCTTTGACCAGCAGTCGGACTACGCTACCCACAATGCACTTGAAGGAGGTGAGCTGGACTCGGGGTTGTCGGTAAATTGCGCAAACCAAAGCAAACCACAACATTCCCTAATATATCCATCTTCTTTCCGGTTCTGAGTCGTTATTGGTTCACGAAGAAACCGAACCATCACGAGATTGACTACATCACAGCCTACGTAGAGCGGGATGTTCCGACAATATGTTATGAATTGTTTAATTCAATAAATAAAAAATATATATATATATAAAAAAAAAAAGAAATTCAGCGTGGGACCTTAAAGGAATAAGACTGAATTTATATTTAATTTTCAAAGTAAACGTAAATTGATCATCAGCAGAGACTTGAACAATAACTATTCATGGGTAATGTTATGATATGAACGATAAAAGGGTAGGCTTAAAACTTTACTTTTTTATAAAGCTTATAGTTAGAGTGGCCCAGGTTATCCTGAGCTATCTGTATAGTTATGCTGCTATAGGCTTAGACTGCTGGAGGACATAAGGAACCCTTTTTCATCATTCTGCTTCATTCTATTTCTATTCTCCCACTCTGCAGTATCTTTTACTTCAATCTCTAACGTTCTGCTCTCTCTGCTTTTTCTCATAGTAGCTTTGCCTCGTCTGTTCATGTTTGGCTGCGACTCCATCCTGGAGAGAAACATCAGCTGTGCTGCTGCCATCAACACCCTTGTTTATAGATGTTGGAGATCTGCCTGTTTTTCCAGTGTACTCCTGTTTCTCTGACTGTGACTGAGTGGATGTGCTCTCTTCGTCCTCTGGCATGGGAGCTGCCTTGGAGCTCGTCTGCCTGGCTGTGTGCTTCCTGGACTGGGCCGCCTTTTACAGTTGCCTTTTGTATCTCTGCTTCTGTCTCCTTGAACCCCAGTCTGCCTCAGCAGATGGCCACTTACACTGAAACTAGTTATGCTGGAGGTGTCTTCCTGTTAAAAGGGAACCTTTCCTCTCCACTGTCGCTACAACCATGCTTAGTGTGAGGTATTGCATAATCAATGAGTTGATGCAATCAACTGCTTTTCCTTAGATAGAAAACTTTGAATCAATTTGACTGTATGATCTGGTTGAACTGTAATGTGCCTCAAGATGAATTGTTGTGAATCGGCGCTATATAAATAAACTGAATTGAATTGAAAATGAATCGAACCAGGGAGGAACTTTCTGTGACCTCATATTCCTCCAGCCCTAATGGCACAGCAGCCAGAAGTAAGCCCTCCTTGAATTTTTTCAAGTTAAAGGAATGAAATTCAGCATATTTCAATCAGATTTTATGAGAAAAAGCAACAAAAATTATTTGTGTTGCTTTTTTTTTTATTATTTCACCTTTCCGATTCCTGATCCTCCACGGACGGGTTCCTTGTTGGATTGTCAACTTGAAGAGAGAGGATTCGCCATCAAACTTCTGGCCAGAGAAAAAACACGTAATATGTAGCCAACATTTTTCCAGATGACTTGGATAATAACGCGCTGTAACACACACCAGATACATCAATGGGACTTGATCAACAGCCGATACCGCACTGTGACGTCACAAATCAGTAGGTGGCAGTAGTGTTCTTTGACAAACATGGATGCCTCCAGTAAAGCACATTCATGTGAAAACTACTCTGAATTAAAAACACTTAACATTTATTGAACAGTATGTAATAATTTCATATTTCAAGTACTTTCAGAAGTTTGAATTCTGAATATGACCGGACTTTTCCTTTGTTGTCCTTTATTTCCTTTAATTTTTAATGACCTGGTGTGATACCTGCATTGACTGTGGAGTAAAAAAAAAAAAAGTGGAATAGAACATCTATATGACATGATACCCCAAATAATCCTGATTGTAGAAGCTTCACAGTATATATAGTTATAGTGGGTGAGATCATCCTAAACTATCTATTTAGTTATGCTGCTATAGCCTTGGGCTGCTGGACGACACAGCCACAACTTTTTCTCACTCTGCTTTATTCTACTTCTCTTCTTGATTATTTGTTGGTTCAAATTCTAACTTTAGATTCTCTCTGCTTTTTTCTCATCATAGTAGTTTCCTCTGGTTCTGTTTAGCTGTGACACTACCCTGGAGCTCTTCACCCTTTCACATGGATGCAGCATAAACTGGGCTTCTGCCATCAACAATTTCTATTATTGACGATAAAGTTGGGCCTGTTTTCAGTGTTTTGTCCCGTTTCTCTCCTAGACATAGCAATGGGCTCAGCTTTTACTGTGACTGACTAGATGTGTTCTCTTTCATCCTTTTTGACATGAAAATCGACTCAGAGCTCATCTGCTTGCACGTGTCTTTCCTGAACAGAGCCACCTGTGGAGCTAGTTCACTGTTACCTTCTCAAACACAGAGAGTACTTATGGATCCATACTTTTATGTTCTTTTTGTGGACCTACTTCTCTCTCCTTGAACTACCAGTTGACCTCAGCAGAAGGCCGTTCACACTTAGGCTGGTTCTGCGTCTTGTTAGCACAAAGTATCTTTGTCACCACTGTCACTGCATGTGACAGACGTGAGAAATTGCTGTAGAATCAAAGACACAATGTAATTGAAAATGTATTGTCCCATGTTCCTCCAGGAGGAATGAATCCTGCTGTGTATGTTTGTGTATTTTAGAGGTTTAAACTCTAAACTCAGATTGAAAACGTTCCACCAGTCTGACTGTTTAATCTGATAGTATTGTCTCAGTAAAGTGCCTTAAGATGACATGTTGTGAATTGACGCTATATAATCTGAATTGAAGTATTTCAAGCAACATGGATTCAGTGCCTTTCTGCTCTTCATCCAGATTCTAGGACCTCGATTTTAAAATACACATTTAATCTAAATAGGGCTTCAGACCTCTAAACAGCAGCCCATAACTTCTGCATCTTTGCTCAGGTAAAGTTAATCTAAAGCCGTATCTTACTCAGGAGTGACTTAACATAAGGTCTTGTATAATGGCTCCTGATGCTCTCACTCCAGCCACAGTTTAATCCTTATGAACTTCTTCCAAATCACTGAATCGACAATCCTGCGATTATCTTTGCTTCTGGTGTAGTTTTTCTTTTCTCTGTTTTTCTTTCCCCTCAGCTCGCTATGAACAGTCATGTTTAAAGCACTCTATAAGCAACAACCTTATTTAACAATGACCTATTGTGCCTTCCCCTCCTTATGGGAGGGATAGGCCGTCTTTTAGAAATTTGACAAGTCAATAGACTTGACTCTCCTACTGACCAAGACTGAGAGAATATTCAAAGAACCAGGAAACCTTTTGAGGTAATAAAGATGTAAAAACTGTACCTTTTTTAAACAATATTCTAATTTTCTGAGACATTGAACTTGGGTTTTTTGTTATATATAAGCTTTTATCACCATAATTACAATAACTAACTGCTTAAACTAGTTTAATCTGGCCCATTAGGTTTATTTTCTAAAAATAAGTGACGAAAAATGTAACTTTTTCAAGAAAATCTAATATTTTTTATGTTTCATAATTTTATCCAGCAGAGGGCGCCATTTAGCTAATTGTAGTTAGAAGATCTGGCTACAAAGTGTAAAAGACACATTTTTTAACTCAACTTCTGTCTAAAAATGGGGAAAAAACGCAGATTATGGGAATTATGTTAATCTAAATTAAGATGTATTCTAGTAAAAGGTTCTATGATGTGATCACATTACAAAAAATACATCTTATATATTAAATTCTGACTCTTTTGTGAAGAAAAACGAAGCAGGTGAGTAAAATGAACCTAAAAATTAAGCATAACAACTGAATAAACTCACTAAATCCCCAAATTTAAATGCCTATCTTTTAGCAATCCAGTTAGTAAAACATTTCTTTTATAGAACAGCCCAGATGAAAGTGTGCTTATGTTGAGGAGCACAGCTCTAGCCTTGATGCTGGAAAACCAGAGCAGACTTTTCATCAACACGCACTGTAGCCTGGAAACAGTAGGAACGACTGAATAGATGCCTGCCTGTACAGGCACAGCGGCTGAGCTGTAAATAGAAAGGAAAGAAAGGCAGTGTTTGAATGTAGCCATTAATAAAAGATGCAGCCTTGTTGGTGTGTGCACACATTTCCTACTCGCACAACTCAGCGTTCCATTAGTGGACACCCACGCCACACCAATAGCTTTATCGTCTTTGTGTGGGACACCGCAGTCATGCCTCCCCCATGCCCCTTCTTCACAAACTTGCAGACAAGTTCTTCTCTTTCAGATGCAGATAATATGGACAGGTTTTAACTGTACAGTAAATGCAGAAATATTCATTTTCTTAATCACCAAAAAGTTAACTTAACCTCTGAAGTCATGTAGGGATGCAGCAAAGGAAAGATGTTAATCTGGTCAGATTTTCAATTCAATTCAGTTTATTTATAAAGCACCAATTAGCAACACGTCATCTCAAGGCTCTTTACAGCTCACCATACAGTCAAATTGATTCAAAGTTTTCTATCTTCTATCTTATAGAAAAACCAGTTGACTGCATCGACTCATTAACTGGAATGCAATCCCTCACACTAAGCATGCTTGTAGCGACAGTGGAGAGGAAAAACTCCCTCTGTGACTTGCCATGTGACTGCCTTTGGAGGCATTGGCTTGTATCCTCTTCTCTGGTCATCATGTCAAGATGAAATATGGACACTGGTTCCCAATGTCCAAACACCATGATCATGGCACATGGCACAAAATCACCAATAAAAGGTTAAAAAAAAGGAAATATAGGTAATAATATGTTGAGACTCCAAAAGAGATTTGATTCTTAAAGGAATAGTACACCCAAAACATGATTAGCCTTCATTTTCTACTCACCCCCATGCTGAACAACACTCTGGAGTACTTTTTTGATATCTCAAATGCATCTGGAGATCTGGGAGGCTTCTTGCTGTCTGCTGACCTTCAAATAATGGAGGTCTATGGTGCCTGAG